CTTTTGTTTTATTCTGGATGATTTTTTAAAACCTTTAGTAATCCAGAGTGTATTGATATTCTTAGTTGTTAATGTTTTTTCTCCTATTGGGAAATAAACTTCATAAACAGAAAAAAATGTTTTGAAAAAAGTTTCATAAATATTATTTGCATTATTATCAAAATTTATGTTTTTCCAATGCAGTAATGATAGTTGGTCTTTAAATAATTTAATATTAGTGTCATTATAAATGCGTTTTCTTATTACTTTTTTGGTATTATTGTTTCTTTCTGGGTTTGTTTTATTAAGTTTCAGGAATATAGGAAAATGATCTGATATATCAGTTTTTATGATACTTATTTGTATATTATTATTGAAAATATCAATAGTTATAATATTATCTATAAGAGTTGCTGTGTTTATTTTTACTCTAGTGGGTCGATTTATTAAAGTAACTGACCCTGTTTCAAAAATTGCATCATAAAAATTCTTTATTTTATGGTCTGAGAAAACAGTTCATATTTAAGTCATATAGTTTTCTTTTTTATCATTGGTTCCTTTTTTAATGATTTGTTGTAAGAACATGCTCAGGTTTATTGAGGTGGAGAATTACAATTAGATTATTTTTTTCACAAGATTTCTTAAAAAGAAACCCTTCTAGTTGTCTAGAAAAATGATACAAACAATCGGATAAAATACTGCGATAAAATTTATTTTCAGGGTTTAGGTTTTCTTCTAAAGAAAAGAGATTTGTTTCATATAAATTAAAAAAAAAGAGATTCAAAGTTGTTAGTCATAGCCATGGTAATAAATGGAAAAAAACAACAAAGGATTTCATTTTAGGAGTGCTAGTTATTTGTTAATATTGATTTTATAATTGTTATTAAGATAAATAATTTTGTCATATCCTACCGTTACATTTTCATTTAGACTTCGTTTAACTTAATTAAAATTTTATTTTTGTACATTATATAGGCTCTTAAAAATGATCAATGATGACAATAACGACAATTTTCTTGCAGCTCTAGAGTTACTCGCAAAGTACAACAAGACCCTTTAGTTACATCAGAAAAAGGTTTCCTGGAGTCAAAATGAAGGTAAACAAACTATTGTGCATTTTTTGGGTTGGAGTTCCCAAAATGAATAAAAAAGTGCAGAAGAATCGTCCACGGTGCCATCACAAAAGATGCGCATATAGTAATTTACTATTTTATTCTTGTCGACGGAACGCCTGATGACTCTTATACTGAGCAAATTGCTTTGTCTACTATGGTTTTGATAAAAGACGGGTAGTTAATGAGCGCTTTCTTAAGGTCAAAAATCTTAAAAAAAATAAAGGTGTGGATATTGCCAAGATAATTATGGATGTCTAGGATCAAAATGACATCAATCTGAAGAAATGTTGAGGTCAAGTATACGGCAATAGTGCCAACATGTCTGGTGTGAACAAAGGAGTAAAAGCGATCATCCTTCAGAGAAATCCTGAAGTTTTCTACATGCTATGCAGCGCTCACAACCTAGCTAGGGTTCATTTGCTTGAATCTCCTGTAGAAATGAAGAACTATTTTGGCTGGATTCAGCTACTCTACAATCTTTTTAGTGGAAGCCCTATAATATGTAAAACCTTGACCAAGACGACTGTTTTGTCTCTTCTTTAAACCTCACAAACCCGATGGAGTGCACGGATTGAGACTTTAAAGCTGTTGGTTAAGCAACCTACAGAAATAATATTTTATTTGCAGAAACTTCAGGAACTTGATTTGACTGCTGATCTATTAAATGACGTAAAATCTTTGGAGAAATGGATTTATTCATTTGTATTTATTATCATGACAACCTTCTAGTTTGAAGCGCGCCAAGCAATTGTCAGCGTGTCATTTCAATCAGGAAACATTACTTCAGATGAAGCTATGAGGGTTCCTATCGAGAATCTTTTAGATTAAATAAAAATAACTACATAGTTTTTACTACTAAAAGTTTGATGCGTTAAGCAATCATCACGTAAAAAATATATTGTTTTTTTCATTAAAAAATATACTCTTAATAAATATCGTGACGTTCAAAAACAGTTATAAAACAGTTACTATTTGGTTTGGTTTTTTACGGGAGGCTGCATAAGCGCGAATTAGCATAAGTGCGAATTGGCATAAGTGCAAACTGAAGCAATTGTAAAAACTGGCGCAAATGCGAACTGGAATTGGCATAAGTGCGCCAAACAAATTTGCAAACATTGGCATAAGTGCGAACTGGCATGAGTGTAAAGCAGTTACAAAAACTGGCATAAGTGCGAACTGGTATAACTGCGAATTGGCATAAGTGTGCCGAATAAAATTTGAAGTATTGGCATAAGTGCAAATTAGTATTTCGCACTTACTTATCTGCCATATATACTTTGAAAGGGTAGTTGAATTTTTCATCTTTTTGTTTGTAAATGAGTGTTTGTGGTTAGCCCATCTTTTCTTCCATTCACCTTCTGCTAGGCCAATATATGGTTTTTCTGGAGTGTTAAGGGGGGTGGGGATACTATACATTTATAAATAACATTAGAGGCTCTACATTTTCAATTATATTGCTCTGATATCATTCATTGAGCATTCTTGCTGAATATATGCTCACAGCAAAGTTAAATATATATATATATATATATATATATATATATATATATATATATATATATATATTTAACTTTGCGTAACTTGAATTTGTGACCTTGAGTGTAAATATAGTTGTTTATTAAAAAGAAACTTGATTTATTTCTAGTAGTTCCATACCAAGAATTTCTAGTAGTTCCATACCAAGAATTCTAAGTCTATTAAAATATGAAAAGTTATTTAGGTCAGCAATTCTCTTGGTAAAACGTCTATGCACTCTTTCCACTTCTTTGTTCATTTTATCGACCTAACCGGAGAGCAATATTTTAAGATTGGTCATATGTAGGTAGTGTAGACTTTTACGATAACACGTGGATCGCAACTTTTAAAACACTTAAGGATTAAATATTCTCATATGTTTGATGCGCGGACAATATTTGAAATACGATTACTGTAATTCAAGTAAGAATCCATGGTCACACCAAGATTTTTTGGGTCACACCAAGATTTTTTGTAAACCAGGTTAAATTATGATCTCCTAATTGATAGTTGTGATTTATATCTTTACAAAATGAAATAGGTGCTATTCTATATGTAAAACACTTATTATTGGCTTAAACCAGAGATAAACTTTATAAATGGCAACAGTAAGATCGTGACTGTAATCGGCATCCTTAAATGAACTATATAGCTTGATATCGTCAGCATACAACATTAGAGGGCATTTAAGACCTTTTACTATAGAGCGTAGATCATTAATATATAACAAGAGTAACGTTGGACACCCTGTAGAACTCCACAAATAATGCTGGTCTGATTGGATAGTGAATTTCCAACCAGAACCCTTTGATATCTGTTAGAAAGAAATGCTGATATCCAATGAATGAGGTTATCTATTATACCGTATATTGTAAGTTTTTTCAAAAGTTTTAGATGAGGTACAGAGTCAAATGCTTTTTGAAAATCAATGTACACCAAGTCAATAATTAAAATGCTATGTAAAGCTTTATTCCAGTCATTAGTTGACTCTAGAAGATTTGTGCACGTAGATCTTTTGGATAAAAAGCCGCGTTGATTAGATATTATTAGATTATTAGTATTAAGATAATCAGCGATACTTGAACTAACAATACTTTTTATCACACGACAGCTAGTACATGTGAAGAAGATAGGTCTATAATTGTTAGCATCTGAAGTAGATTCTTTTTTAAAAATCGGGGAAACCGAAGCTCGAAGCCACTGTTTTGCTAATGAGCTTGACGTATAACTTGATTCAAATATATACGAAAGCGGAATACATATTATATCTGCTAACTGTTTCATAAGTATATTTGGTATACCGTCAGGTCCAAATGGTGTACTCGGTTTTAAGTTTTTTAGTTTTTGATAAACTATCTTTGCTGAAAAATTTACGAAATCCACCTTAATATATTCAGTAACAAAAGTATTAGTTATAGGCAAGTTTCCGTCATCTACCGTAAAAACACTTCCAAAATATTTCTTAAACACTTCAGCGATATTAACATTGCTGGTAGTAAAGTTGCTATTGGTTTTTAGAGTAATTTGTTTTTAGTAGTAACGAGTATTGGTTGGAATACTTAAAAGTATTGGTTTTTAGTAGAAAAGTTTTTATTAGTTATTTATGGCATGGACCATTGTGTTCTGTGCAATCTAGTTTGTCTCAGAGAATCTGTAAGCATTTTATCTTGTACATTGACTCTCAAGTCAAGCTCAAAAAGTCAGCTCTATTTATTGTTATGTTATCGACCAAATAACTATTATCACTTCTCAAATGTTCGCTTCGCCGCCAAGCGCAAAAGAAACCTAATGGCCGTATTTGAGGAAGAAGAGAATGCGACCTTCGCTGAATAGTTTGATGAGACAAAGTTGAAGTGGAAAGCCTTGACATATCAATTGACGATCATTTAAAAATTTTTAGGATGAACAAAGAGTGAGGCGAATTCCCATGACTCACTTTGATTAAATTTAATATATAGAATAAGACAGACATAATAAATATTTTTCTATTTCAGGGAGGTATACAATAACAAACTACTGAGTACGACGACGATAACGTGGAGGTTTTAACTCATCACCTGACCGATATTTAGACACAGAAAACTGTAATTCACACAAAAAAAAATTTAATAAACAAGCTTCGGATTCAAAAACGGATTTAATTCTGTTTGTATTGATATATATAGTTTTAAAAATGTTGCCTAAAAGTTTTTTTAAAATATACTTTAATATGAATACAACTTGATTCAGCATTTGAGGGTCCTTTTAAGTTTAGTTTATTAAAAGTTAAAAAGCTTCAGAAGTTATCAAGATTAATTAAAAAAAACTTAACTAGAATCAGAATTAGAAAGCATTTTTTTTTATTTTGAAAAAACTTAAAAAATATTAGTCCGTTCTTTGTCATTATAAGTAAAATTATGTTTTTTAAGCTAAAATATCACTGTCCGAATATTTCTTTCATTCTAGATTTCAAAAAAATAATAATTAAATTTCATTCACATAATTTATATCTTATAAATAAAATACATTAAAATATTTAATATTTTTAAAAATAAACTGTAATAAATTAATTATTCACATAATATACATCAAAAAATTTATAATAGAACCATTAAAAAAAATTTTTTTTTTCAAGCATCATAATCTAAAGCTTGTGGATCAACACCAAATAATGGATTAACATAAGCAAGAGCAACATCATCTTTGTCACTGAAAAAGATTTAAAAATTTTTTTTTATGTAAGAATTGAGACGGTTTTTATATAAGAATATTGAGACGGTAAAAACCGTCTCACGCAAACTTTAAACATTTCGCTAAAGTGGCGGTTAATTAATAGACGACGTCATATTCAAATTAATAGAGCTTACGATTTGAAAACTGCAACGGCAACCTCTACAAGTTATAATAAATATTTGACACTAGGCATGCGCAATGGATGGAATTCCCTGAATAGCCGTTTCAAAAAACTTTTTACGCAACGTCAAAACGTTGAAATTCGTGTTTTCTGAAAACGGCTTATAATTAATCATATATGTTCTGAAAAATAAATGGATCAAAGTAGTTCTTGCTCCAAAAGTGTAACAAAGTAATTATTTAATTTCTGATACAAATTTAGGATATTTACTTAAGTATAAATACATATATATATATATATATATATATATATATATATATATATATATATATATATATATATATATATATATATATATATATATATATATATATATATATATATATATATATATATATATATATATATACTTATATATTTACATAATTATATATATATATATATATATATATATATATATATATATATATATATATATATATATAAATTTATATAATGGATTTTAAGTTTATTAATTTATGCAGGTTCTTAGTTTTTTATTTCTTAGTTAAGCGGAAATTAGTAACTAATTTTATGTGAATACCGCAACTGTAGCAACCGCTACAGTTGCGGTATTCACATAAAATTAGTTACTAATTTCGCTATATATATATATATATATATATATATATATATATATATATATATATATATATATATATATATATATATATATATATATATATATATATATATACACTTATATATTTACATAATTATATATATATATATATATATATATATATATATATATATACATATATATATATATAATATATATATATATATATATATATATAATTATGTAATTATATAAGTATATATATATATATATATATATAATATATATATATATATATATATATATATATATATATATATATATATATATATATATATATATATATATACATATATATATATATATATATATATATATATATATATATATATATATATATATATATATATATATATTATATATAAATTTATATAATGGATTTTAAGTTTATTAATTTATGCAGGTTCTTAGTTTTTTACTTCTTAGTTAAGCGGAAATTAGTAACTAATTTTATGTGAATACCGCAACTGTAGCAACCGCTCGATCCAGACCTTTGTCGTCTCCGTTGCCGTTGCAGTTTTCATATCGTAAGCTCTTTAATTTAGTCACCTAACCATGTTTTTTTTAAATTACTGTCTTTAAGTTGCATTGTTTTGTTTTTTTTAAAATTTAATGCAAGTGCGAGAGTATTTACTTTAGCAAATTTATTAAGTATAACTAAAAATGAATTTTAAAACCCAATGCTTTTATGTTAAAAAAACAAAAACTTTGCAATCAATTTTTTCTGATATTACTATTTTATTTTATTAATATTCGGCTGTATGCGTTTGTAAAAAAAATAAAAAAAATCAGGAAGAGGCAGGTCTCAAACCACAGACATCCCGTTTACGAAGTCAATGCCTAATCCAAATAAGTTAAATGCACATATAAGTAGGAAACAAATAATATACTTATTTTAAAAATTATTCTTCTTCTTTCTATATAAAAAATAAACTTAATTAAAATTAACTAAAATAATTGACTTATTGCAAAACTAATTATTGAATATTGTATATCAAGCAAGAGTGTATATGCAAAATTTGAAGAAAATCTATCATCAGGAAGTGACTCAAAAATTGATTGCAAGATTTGATGCTCACAGACAAACAGAGACGACGAGTTAATAAAAGCATTGGGGAAAAAATTCATTTTTAATTAGAATTGATGTCATAAGAAGATATAGTCTTATTGTTAATCTTATTAAGAACATTCGGATAACCTTTTTTACTTTAATGAACTATTAAACATTCATTTTAAAATGATATTACTAAAATAAACAATATAAAAATAATATTTTCATTTACCTGTCAATTTTTTTAAAATGATTTTGAAGTTCGAAATCACAATTCTTCTTCGGACAACTATTTTTCATTGAGGAAACAGCATCATTATAAGAAAATTTCTTGTATGAACTTTCAGCAAGATCTTTTTTTCTAGAGAAATATTTTTACTATATTTTTTATTACCAATAACTTTATATATGTGATTTAAAAATATATTTTGATTAATAATAATATCTAATCTAAATAATTAAAATTAAAAAGTAAAAATCAGTTAAACTGAAATAAAAATCCTAAAGCAATTTAAAATATTAACACTATAATTAAAACAAATACTACACTGTAAAAAAACTCCGTAGTATTTATCAGACATTTTCCGTTGTTTTGTTACGGAAAAAATCCGTTTTCAATAAATTACGGTCTTTTACCTATACTTTTAAGACTTTTGAAATAATCACATCTTTTTATAGAATTTTGACCGTATTTATGATACGGAGAGGTTCCGTAACTTTAAATTACGGACTTTAACCGTATATTTTAATTAACTTTAGTATAGCCTCTAATTTACAGAGCGCCATAGTTCTTTTTAACGAAGAGAAGTTATACATGTTTTTTAATTTAAAAGTCAGAGATTTTAATATATTTATATTTGTTTTACTGGAACTAAAGTGCTGTATGTTTTTAAAATAGTGCATTCACAAAACTTTTTTGTAATTTAGGTGCTGATTAAGGATACTGTTATAAAAAGATGCAGATATTTATTAAATATAGGTACTTCTGAAAATTAGTTTCCTATATTATATAGGGTTTATATGGTATAAAAATACTTTCTTATGTATTGAATTTTTTAAAGTTCATACTATTTAGTGTTAAGTTTTTATAGTATATAAAAGAAATACTAAACCATATGAATTATAGAAAATTCAATTCATAAGAAAAGTATTTTAAAGCATTGTAAATAAATAAAACATAATTTACTAATAACTTAATAGTAAATATAATTCATATTGTTTAGTGTTTCTTTTATATAGTATAAAAACGTAACACTAAATAGTATGAAATTTAAAAAATTCATCACTATCAATAATATCTAAATAAAATTGTAAATAAAACTTGACTTATTAGTAATAAGTAAAGTTTTGTTTTCAATTTTATTTAGACATTATATTGAATTTGCAATTGACAGTGACGAATTTGGGATTATTTAGTTGTTTTGTAATATATATATATATATATATATATATATATATATATATATATATATATATATATATATATATATATATATATATATATATATATATATATATATATATATATATATATATATATATATATATATATATATATATATATATATATATATATATATATATATATATATATATATATGTATATATGTATATATGTATATATGTATATATGTGTATATGTATATATGTATATATGTATATATGTATATATGTATATATGTGTATATATATATATATATATATATATATATATATATATATATATATACATATATATTAAAATTAATGTATATTTTGTATAACTTTATACATAACAAGGGTTTTTTTTCAAGTTACAAATATAAAATGTTACTATTTGCAAGCGTGGTTTGGTTTTTTATTCTTTAGGCTCGTGGTTGTCAAGCAAGAACTTGTTTTCATGACGGCACTTAGATATTATTTCTATTTTTTTATTTAATAGTTCTTGCGTATCTTTGTATGATATTATGCAAAGTTTTTCATAAAGGCAAAGCAAGTATTTTTTGTTACGTTGCTGTAGGCGGGGACTTGTTTAATTATTGACCAGGTTAATTTGGGTGTTATTTTTAAGTTTTCTTTTATCTGCCATATATACTTCAAAAGGGTAGTTGAATTTTTTACCTTTTTGTTTGTGAATGAGTGTTTGTGGTTAGCCCATCTTTTCTTCCATTCACCTTCTGCTAGGCCAATATATACTTTTTCTGGAGTGTTAAGGAGGGGGGGGGGATACTATACATTTATAAATAACGTTTAAGGCTCTACATTTTCCTATTATAGGGCAGTTTTCTTTATTTATTCAATTGCAGGGTGGATATGCTTTTGGTCTTTTTGAACTGATTTTCTTGTTGTGGCTTTTTATAATTCTTTCAATATTTTTGGTACAGCTGTAACTCACTTTGGTGGTGTTTCAATTGAATAGTTTACTTAGAGGGTGGGATGTTGGAAAATGTTTGTCGATTAAGTTTAGGAAGATATGTTCGACATTGGCAGAAATGCTTTTACTATACAGGGGGTTGAATCATATTATATTTCTTTTTCTTTTCTTTTTTTCTCTTTTTTGGGGGATTATACTTTAAATTAAAACCAGTGAAGCTATTTCTTCTAAATTCATCTTCGTATTCTAGTATAGATAAATTAAATGATTTTCCATTTGAGGAATTTTGTGATAATTTGTCGTTGATAGAGATGGTTGGAATCAGTGTGGATGTAAGATAGATATTCATTTGGTTTTTTGAAAGGTTGGTAGGAGTTTTTTTCTAAGTTAAAGGAGACATCTAAGAAGTTGACTGAGGGTAGGTTTGTTTGGATTTCTATTTTAAAACCGATCATTTTAATAACTTTAATTATGTTTTTTTGTAGGCTATCAATTTGTGATCCAGTTTTTTTACGAAGTACCATCAAACCATCGTCACAATATAGTCCAACGTCTTATTTATTATTTTAGATAGTGAGTCTAATATATATAGGCCCGCCATTTCACAAACTTCTGCACCGTCAAAACAACCCATTGTGACAGTTGTGTGCTTTGATGTTTGAAGAAACATTTTATAATTGTTTTTGTACGTCACAATATTATTATATAGTATATTTTTTAACGAAAAAACAATGTATTTTTACCTGATGATTGCTAAACGCATGAAACTTTTAGTAGTAAAAATTATGTAGTTATTTTTTATTTAATCTCATCAAAAAATCTTATATATATATATATATATATATATATATATATATATATATATATATATATATATATATATATATATATATATATATATATATATATATATATATATATATATATATATATATATATATACATATACATATACATATACATATACATATACATATATATATATATATATATATATATATAATATATATATATATATATATATATATATATATATATATAATAAAATGTAAGTTATGTAAAACTTTATCCATAACATGGCTTCCTATCAAGTGAACATAAATTGCACATTCTAACACCTAGTGTAATACTGTCCTCTGTCTCTATGCCAATCTTCTGACTGGACTTTTTCTAACTTTCTCTCTAACATCCTTCATTCTTTTAAAAATCACTTACCTTTGGTCTGCAAAGGGGTTATGATGCTATTTAATTAGCTGAACTGGTTTTTGTGGGCCTAGGTATGTAGTCTATAAAAGGCAGTTTTTCGGAGGAGGATAAACCACATGGAGGATGAACGCATGGAAAGAAGGTATATATTAAATAAAATAGTATGTTAGATGTATTTTTTTATTTACTTTTTTGTAGTGCAGTCTGAAAAAGATCTATATTTAAATTATTTAAAATTGTGGTTTTTGACAAAGTTGTCTGTAGAATAGAAATTTTGATGTTAGTAATTGTTAAATTATTATTTACTTATTTGTATTTATATACATTGATTAATTTTTATTGTAACTTTTAAAATGAAATACTATTATTTATAATTATTTTAAATACTATTATTGAAAGTTTTTCTTAGGTTCATGCCTTGGTTTCGGTTTCAACCCAACCTTGAATTTAAATGTATCTGGATCTAAATCTTCCATTGCAATGCTAAATAAATACTCGGTGTAGTTAAGGCACTTTTAAAATATTATAGCGTCTGTATGATATTTTGTTGATTATGACATATTTTCGTGAAATGGTCTGGTCTGTGAATTATGAAAAGACGAAAAAAATTAGAATAATAAATTTTGCGGTATCATAAAATATAAATGTTTGTAGCAAAAAAACCCAGACCGTGGAATCTTTTTTTTTTTAAAAAATCATTTTAAAATCACAATCGCTCGTCCAAATTTAAATAAGATTTTATATTAATATGTTTTTTAGGTGAAATGAACATTATAGTTTAACAATATGATCTGTTCTGATCGTTTATTGGCAATTATTTATAATTATAAGCTCTTTCTTGGTCGGAATTCCAATATTTTTTGTGAAAATTGATAGAAATATTGTGTTTTGACAACTGTATATAGTTAATATACGTCAGAACCGATTAGAACTATGATCAGTAGTAAATTAAGTAACTTTTTAAAAAGATTTTAACTAAATTCATGTTAATGTCGATGAGCGAAATTGATCTAAAGACTCCAAAATAGTAGTACAAAGATTTTAAAAATTATATATAAAAAGAAAAGTTTCTTCAAATATTATAAAAACTTTAAGCAAAAAAAACTATAACATTTAAAGATCTTGTTTGGGCATAATATGCTGACAAAACCATGCTAATTCCGAATAAAAGTATTCAAATGTTTTGTAAATCGCCTTAACTACACCGAGTAGATTTTCAAAATTCCCTGGAAAAGCTACTGGCTGAAATCATGGATTTACTTCACAAAAATGCTCCTCTTTTGCCACGAAAAACACAAAAGTACAATGATAAGGGTCATTTATGATGATATACTTTCACACTTGTTTGTAAAAAATCTATAAAAATCCATAGCTTTTTTATATTACCTGTAATGTATCCTTTAACTTAATCTACTTCTGACCTATACTTTCTTCTATATCACTACATCCTGATTATCTGCAACTGCATGCTCTACATGCTCGCTCTACATACAATTTTTCAACATTATTTTCTTTTCTTTTTTTTTTTACTGTAAATAATGATTTATTAATCTGATCTTATTATTATTATTTAGATGTTAATTTTATGTAGTAAAATGAATCCTGAAAAATAAAAGTAAATTGAAGAGAAAAACTTGTAAAAAAGCTGTCGGACCTCATCCAAAAGTTTCGATTTTCGTAAACAAACAAGCGCTTGAGTGGACAGAGCTTCAATAGATCAAAAGACGTTTTGTTTATGTTTATTATAACTATTATAACATAATATATATAACAACTTTTATAATATATTATAATTTGTCATA